TGGAGATTATCTATGTATACATGCCCTTTGTACTTCTCTCTCAAATAATAAATAAAATCTTAAAAAAAAAAAAAAAAACCTGTGGAAAGATACACAAGAAGAGAGTAACTGGTTGCCTGTGGGAAGAAGAACATGATAGGTGGGATGGAGATTATCTATGTATACATGCCCTTTGTACTTTTTGAATCTTGAAGTTTGTGGAAGTATATTTGAAAGAAGAAGAAATAAAAATATAGCAGTGCAAGGCAGTTTCCTCACGGAAGGAAGTTTCCTTATGGTAGCCTTCTATACCACATTAAACCACACTGAAGTAATCACAGGACAGAACAATCATAATTCTGAGGCATTAAAAAAGGCAAGTTTCTAATATGTATTTTCTGAAATAGAATATATGGAGCTAAGTGACAGTTAATCATTTTAAAAATACTAAAAGTAACAATCACATTACTGAAAATTTGGAGAATAAAGATCAGGAAAGGAAAAAAAAATCACAATCTTATCACAGTAAAATAACCACTTATTGCTTTGGTATAATGTATTCTTCCCTGTATTTTCGCCTGTGTTCATTGTGAAAATTCATGGTGAAAGTCTTACTAAAATCAATCCCAACCATAATGCTTCTTGGTCCTCTTAAAACAGGCACTGGGGGCTAATGGAGAAGGAATCAGGAGATCTTAAGGTTAATTGCAATTTGTTCACAAAATCTCCGAATGACCCTGAACAAGTGGTTTTTCCCATCAGCGAGCTGCTCTCCAGCTCTGTGAGAACAGTACAGCTTGCCTTGAATGCCTCTCAAGATGTAGAGATAGGAAATAGTTTATGTAACATGGAAAACCCCTAGCTAAATGGAATGTGAATATTCAGGCTAGGACACAAAAATATTTTTTAAAAGTACAATAGTAGGGAACTATTTAGGAAGAGCTGAGGCCAAGTTTGAGGTCCTCACCACCTCTGTGTCATGCTTGATATTTTTGAATGGGAGGGTGGACAGTAGGGGGAAGGTTGTCTTCAAAGAGAATTTCATTAGAAAATGGCTACAGAACTTGAGGATAAGGTTTAGCTGCTGGGTAATCCTGGAGCTCAATTCAATTTGCAGGATGTATACCAGAAAATAGATGAAATCCTGCTTTAAAAATAATTAGGAGTATTATTACTCCAGAGGGTAGACAAGGAAACGCTTCAGATGACAGATTTCAATCAGCTCTGCAAAACCATTTTTTCACTCTCTTAAATGGATATTCAAGCCAGTCACGTACTTCTTATTAAGGATAGGAGGCAGATCTAGCAGAATGATGTCTGGTCTTGGAAACTGATAGGTCTGAATTGATCCTCACAATTAGAAACATTAAGTTAAATCCTGGTGTCTGAGCAAAGACAGACAGATCCTGGACTAAATGGAAAATAGTTACTTAATGCCAGTGAGAGATGATCCTGATAAAATTGACCAGCTCTGTTCTTGCTTTAAAATCTTCCCTGGTCCACTGAGAATCTGGGAGGGAAGGTCCGACAAAGGAGATATTCCTCATGTACAAGGGGGATAAAGCGAGGGTACCTAACACCTTTAATTAGTTACTTATCCTCTCCACATCAAACCTTGTCATCTGAATGACCAGCATGGCAAAATGTCTGCTCTAGAGAAAAAGACTGCAAGCGTCCGTGATGGCTAAATTGATGGTTTCAATGGCTCACTGCACACAGATCTGGATCTCCTCCACCAATTCACATCTTTGTAAGCCATGCCTGATTTTCAGACTTTCCTCATTTAGCACCACCTCTTCTGTTTTAACTCCCTGGAGTGGTGCATATTCTGTTGGCAAGTGCCACTAGCCTAAGCCCCGGGTGAGCGCGGGGCTGGGATTGCCTCCCTCACTTGCACTCTATACACCTCTCTTAGCTGTCAAAGCTCTGCTCTAAGCAGATTAATCTAAATAATGTAAATCAAACTCAACTCTAAATACGCTTTTATCTAATACACACATGGCAAATATATTTATAGCCTCTATTCAGAGTGTCAAGTACAAGATGCAGAGGAGAGAATGATAACTCCGTCTGGGAGAGGGGAAGGAAAGAACCGGGAGAGGAAGGGAGGTTTAAGACAGGCTCGGTTAGGGTCTGCCATGCTGAAATGAGGGCAAGAGGAAGACGAGAGGTGTGAAACAGCACGGCAGGACTGAGGAACAGGAGGGAGTGTGACCTTCCGAGGACGCTCATGGGGGCAGGGAGGTAGTGCATGAAGGGGCCAGAAGAGCAGGGACTGGAGATCACAAAAGGTCTTGGGGTCAGGTTAAGAGATTTGTGTTTCACTTCTACACAATCATAGTAAAAGCTGGCGTTAACCGAGCACCTGTGTGCCAGTCACGGTGCTCGGGGCTTTCTGTGAATCATTCTTTTAAGCCAACAGCAATCTTATGAAGCAGTTCCCATTACTATCATCACTACCTCCATTCTAAAGGTGAAGAAACTGAGACTGAGAGAGGGTACAGAATTTACCCACGTGAGATCAGGGTTTTCTGAACAATTGCTGGGGCAAGACTTGCAGGCAGGAAGCACAGTTAGGAGGCTACCAAACTCCTTCGTGGGAGTGATGCCCAAGGTTTGAGTCTGTGAGGTGGGATGGTGGGTGCAGCGGAATGCAAATCCAGCGGTTGAGTTTTGCTCACTGATTAGACCGGGGAGGAGGGTGGTGGCAGAGAGAAGAGTCCAGGCTGTCTCCCGGCACGGGCAGTGCGGACTGATGGGGCCACGGACATTCCGGAGGTACATGTGATGAGGGTGATGAAGCCGATTTGGGGTACCGAGTTGGAGGGGCCCATAAGATAGGCCTCATTCCTTCACTGATTCAGTATACATTCTTGCTTACCTACTACGTGCCAGAAATTGTGCTAAGACAGGTTCCCTGTGCCCAGGGAGCTCACAGAGAGGAGCAGCATCACTATGTCCTAGGCACTATTCTTGAACATTTCACATGCATGAACTCAGGTAACCGGCAGTGGGCCTGTGAAGTGTCAGTGTCCTCATTTTACAGATGAGGACACTCAAACACAGAGAGACTACATAACTTGCCCAGGTTAGACACCTAATAAATGACCAAGACAAGACCTGAACTCAGGCAGTCTGGGTTCATTTTATAAATTGGAAACTGAGGCTCAGGAAAGTTCAAGTACTTTGCCCCAGCAAATTAAGCCCCAAATAAGAGGTGGAGGTAGGACTTGGACAAATGCCTGTTTAACTCCAAGCTCCTGCTACTAACCCCCTAAGTAAGTCTAATTATAGACACACACACACACACACACACACACACACACACACGACATGGTGGTGGCCCAAGGGAGAGAGCCAGCAATGCAGCAAATAGGGTAGGGTGGGGAATACCAGAAAATATGTTGCCAAAGAGGACATGCTTTTATCAGCTCTGGAAGAATGAAGAGCGGTTCCCCTGATGGAGAAAAGTATCTATAGTACATGTGGAAGGATGATCTCTAAACAAGAGAAAGGGCTCTTCTTCTTCCTATGATAGGAGGGGAAGCAGTAAGGCCAGGTACAAATATAGAAACATTTGTAGGAATTCATATCCATATCTTGTAGTTTCAATGTTGTCCTTGAAGTGGAGGCAAAGTCATATGCTGAGAAGGATGGGGATGAGGCATCCTAAGGACAGTGAAGATGTGGATGGTTATTGGATTGACCAGGAGACTGAGCTGCCCAGGGATACAGAAAGGGTATCTGCCAAATGGCCCCTCACAACTTTCATGTTTGTTTTAGATTTCAAATATTACAGGTGACAGGGGCGCCTGGGTGGCTCAGTCGGTTAAGCGGCTGCCTTCAGCTCAGGTTGTGATCCCAGGGTCCTGGGATCGAGCTCTGCATCCAGCTCCCTGCTCAGCAGGAACACTGCTTCTCCCTCTCCCACTCCCCCTGTTTGTGTTCCCTCTCTCACTCTGTCTCTCTCTGTCAAATAAAATCTTTAAAAAAAAAAAATATTACAGGTGACAGCTATGGGTCCCTTCCCCACCCACCTTGCTCCCAGGTGATACAGTTACACTGACAGCAAGTCTCAGACATCTATTAGCAAGGAGATATAAAAGCAGTCATACAGACTATGGTTGGGACAAAGCACTTTGCGTGGAAGGTTCATTCAAGGAAGAGGTGACAGCATTCTGGCAGAAGGATCAGAAAAGCTTCTAGTCAGTCAGATACCAGAATTCTCAGTTCTGGCAGAATACAGGAACATAAAAGAATCCTATGCCTATAGTAGTACTTCAGTGGATTTGATTCCCCAACTTGCCAACTTCTACTGCCTTGTTTCTGCATGGGCAGAACTGCGGTACAATGCTGCTAACAAGTGCAGTACAATCCACATATCTTGAAGACTACTAGGTTGAAAGCTAGAGCTAAGATGTCATTTGGCAATTAAATCCACAGATCTCCCTTGCAGTAGCAAAAATAGAGCTGGAGATAAGGGTGGGAATCATCAGGGAGTTGAAACTATGGAAGAGAAAGAGAGAATACAATAGAGTATAAAGTGGGAACAGAAAACAAAAAAATGAAGCTAAGGAACTGCAACATTAAAGGTGTAGGCAGAGGACAAAGAATCAGAGAAGGTGACAGAGGAAAAAGAGTTGGAAGTAGGAGGAGTCAAGGCAGACTCCAAGTCAAGGCAGAAGAATTCCTGGTCCAATACTATATCCCAGAGAAGTCTAGTAGAACAAGAAACTGACAAGGGTCAATCAGATTTGGCAAAACTGATGGAGGAGCTAAGATCATGAGCAGAGGCAGAAGGAATAAACCTTCCATAAAAGGAGTGATGTTTCTTCTGTGGTTGGAAGGAGGACAAGGAGGACGGGTGTAGATGTAGACAAGTTTATAAAAGGGTTGGCAGAATTATTGCCTAATCACTCCTGAAACTATATGAAATAGAAGGTAAAGGCTTTTCCCAGAGTGACTGGGGCTGGGTCTTTAATCTCTTTAGACTCACACGTCCTGAAATAAATCAATATGATGACAGCTACTGATGTAAATGGGAGGGGCCTTCCCTAACCTACCCACTGGCACCTACATCCAGACTCTGCCTTTTCTCTTACTTCCTGCTCCAAGCAAAGGCCAACCCTCCTACTGTCTACAAAATTCTTTCTCACTCAACCACATGATTCTAGCAATTCTCTCTCTCCTAGGTAGTTCACATTAGCATAGAACACATGCTGTTATTTCTTCTGTTAAAACAAAAATCAAACCCAATTTGATCCTACTTCCCCTCTAGTTACTCATCTCTCTCCATCCCCTTATAGCAAAACTTCTCAAGAGTTGTCTGTTCTTGTCTCATTTTTCTCCTGTTCCATATCAAACTCACTCCAATCAGACCTTCACTCCCACTGCTCCATTCAAACTGCTCTCATTAAGGTCACTCATTACCTCCCCATTCCTATATCCCATGGTCAATTCTCAGTGCTCATCTTATCCGACCTATGTATCAGCCTCTATCACAACTGATCTGAAGACACGTTCTTTGTGTGGCTTGTTGGGCACAGTAGGGTCCTTCTCCCTCACTATGCACTCCTCCTTGGTCTCCTTTGCTGGTTGCTCCTCTCCTCTCTACCCTCTTAAGGTGAGTGTCCCGGTACTCAGACTTCCTCTCCTCCTCTGTTGACTTGAATTTTTATAGCTACCAAGTCTGCTATTTGTACTTCTGGGATACCCTGCTAGGCTGTTAGCAGTTACTTTGCAAAGCGTGCTTCTCACTTCCTCCCTTTTTACAAAAATAAACAACAGTCCAGGTGAAGGTCTAAGGGTGGCTCAGTGCACTGTTCTTTGGTGTGGGCCCCCACCCAGAAATCCTCATAGCTTCTCTCCCGCTTCTAGTTCCAGGGGAGATGGACCCGCAGGAAGACTGACCTTCACATGAGTAGGAGTGCTACTGCTACTCAAGATAAGAAATATCTTGATTATATAAGGCCTCTCCTTCAAAAGTCACTAGGATGCCCAGGCATGCATTATTTTCCTATTTTTATCCTCTGAGAGTATTATGATTTTGGAAATAAGATCTAATAAAAAAATAATGAGGCCTCTTTCTCTATCAGAATTCTTTTTTAGCACCCACAGTTAATTATCAAGGCCCAGAAGTAAAAACTGCTATATTATCTTTCTAAGTGAGGAAATTAATAAAAAGTCATAGTTAAGACGCCTTTAAATGGGAGCTGTTTAAGAAGCATTAGATAAGATCTCGTAGCTTTTATGAGACTATCTAGTCAAGTGTGCTTCAAATTCTTTTATCATTATTTCTTAATCCACACAACAGCTGAACACCCACATTGCTATTATGAAGTACACTCAGATTCTGTACTTACCTTGTATTTCGAAGTATCCCAGTTGTGGACTATGCGTGCGGGGATGAGGAAACTGTCGTCTACATGGCAGCTGCTGCAGTAATACCACCCACTGTAATTGCACACCTTGGCTTTCCCACTGGAAAGGCCTATGGATCGCTGGCATCCTGTCCAAGGCAAAAGGACGAGTCTATGATTAGCGTTGTACTTTTAACACCACAGAACAAGGTTACACAACCCTCAAACAAAAGTCCGCAACAAGAAAAAAAAAACCTTCAGAAAACACATGCATGGATGTGTCCTTCTCTTCCTAGCCCGATAGCCTCCACCCCCTCACCTCCTCAGGGGCTGCCATAACCAGCACCTAACTGGTCCTGTCTCTGGTCTCTTCTGTGTCTTCTGCATACAGCTGGCAGAGATCAGCCTCTCCACAACCCCACCACTGGCACTTCACTTCTTCCTCATAAACCCTTATTCCCACCACCAGACATTCTGCTGGGGACTTCTCATAAAGGAGCTTATTTAACATGTACAACATCTCCGTGAGATGGTTTTAGCCAAGTTAAGAATTTTGTCTGAAGTCACTGCGCCAGGAAGAGGTGGAGTTTGGATTTGGCTCTAAGCCCGTCTGAGTTTAAAATGATTCTAAAAACTGATATGTGGCCTTCCTTTACTTACATAGTCAATGAAAGAAATCTGTCCCCCGATTGGCCCCATATCACCTTTCCAACTACCTACTCCTACTACTCTCCAATGGGAATATAACCTCTTTATTGCAATCAGAGAACTCTCCTCACTATTCCCCAAATAAACAGTGTGCTCACTCCATCCTCCACACATTGGCACATTATTACTTCTCCGTACACAACACCCTCTTCTGATTTCCACGTTGCCAAATCCTGCCCATTACTCGAGACCAGTGGCTGCCTGCAAGTCATTGCTAAGGCCCTTTTCATGTCCGAGGAAATCCATGATTCTGTGAGCACTGTTTTGGGACTCTCAGCGGAACTGGTAATAATCTCCGCCCTGTCACAAAGAAGCCATGCCTTTTCTTTAGGTAGGAGGAACTACCTTCTCTTGGTGAGTACAGAAATTCTATCGCAACCCAAAGGACAAAATCCCGGCAGCCCAGAACAGGTAATCATGATTATACAAACAGCAACATTATCCTGGCATTTCTAATCTACTGCTTTCATTTCAGAAATCCATTTCTGGATTCATGGCTGGATCAAGAACCGCACTGGTCAAAGAAATCTCACAGTAAGCCTATTTCATGATAAGGGCATAAAATGAATTAATCATCACTATCATCATCAGCCTCATCACCACTAATATCACTGTTGCACCTCCTTGCCATTAAAGGAGCTCCAAACAGTTTATTAAACAAACTGCTAACCCAAGAAAAAACTGATTCACATGAACTCCATGAACGAAAATATCACAAAACTCAAAAGACTTTCGTTTTCATCACAAATAAAATGGTATCAGTAATGGAGCCGTTTCACAGTGCATTCTCCAGGAAGAGAATTAGATCCTATTGCTTTCAAGACAAGAGGTACTAAAAGACAGTAAGTGTGTGCATCAGTATCATGCTTCAAAAGCTGCATACCGTTCCTTCCTGGAATGGTTATTTCTTTACTACTGAGTAGCAGCAAACTCAGAACAAGCTCCTGTTCTTCAGATGCGCTGAGCAAGGAGATGTGTGCGACAGATACAGACGAAGTGAACACACAAGCGGCCGCGGCTGCAGAGAGGAGGTGCCGTTGCAATGCCTGGGCTCTGGGCACTGGAATGCTCTTTGCTGCACTCACTGACCGCACTACTGCTCATCTGGCATTTAGCACATGCTTCCTGAAACTACTGTGCCTCTTTATGTGCTTGTCCAGCAAGAACCACACTATAAACTCCTCAGAGCAGTTTCTTATCCTCAGTACTTAACACAGAGCTTTACATGCAGCAGACCTTCAATAACTGTTTATGCAGAAAGGATGATAAACTGAATATTACCCGACACACATACACCTGCATTTAAAGAGATTTTAATTTCTCGTAGCTCTTTTAGAACTGATCCCCCTAACCTGGGCACCTGCCTCTTAAAACAGCATTCTTTTGTTAATAACCCCGTGAAAAATATGTTGCCCATTCTAAGAATTATACATCGCTCATGTGTTCATACATGGACTGTGGAGCAGAATTCAGTGGAACTTGACACATCCTAGACACTGGGATATTGCTGTTTCCAAAAACTCGCTGATGGTCAAATTGACTTAACACTGAAATGACAATGAATAAAACTCAATCTTTCCTAATGATTTAGAAAGTGATCATGGTCCTGCAGAAATTCCAGGTCATCACTATAGTTTAAACTCTCATCACAGAACACAGCAAAAATAAATTTGGGTCACTTTAGCTTTTTGTTTTTTTGAATTTTAGACACAACTAACATTAGTAAGCATTTGCTGGGTATTTATATATGCTTTAGTGGGTACTACTGGGTTTATCAGTCTATACTTTTTAATGACTTTATTATAATTTTTTAGATGCAACGTACATAAGCAATATTAAAATACACAAATATGCATTTTAAGAAAGTACATGGTCTAAAAATGTGTACATCAACACGGGTCCAAAGCCTAACATGCTGGGGCTTCAACTACATGAGCTAACTAAATGAGCTAAGCATTCTCACCACTGCGCACTAGTCTCGAGGCTCATCAAAGACAGAAGGGCTGAGAGAGAGTGGCTAGGTTTTAGGTTAGACAGAAGCAACAGCACATAAACCCCTAGTTCCTGGGTGTCTTTACCTTCATACCTTATTTAGAACTATGCTCTCCTACTTTCTGTGCTGAAATCACCCCTAATGACCCAGAAGTAGGTCTGAACCTATCTGCGTGCTTAGGACTGTTTGGGATACATGGTGTACGGACAAGCACAGGTCCAGACTTAGAAAGCCAATTTTTGCCTAGGACAGACCGTGAACTTGACCCATCAAACTCTTTAGGCCTGCTTTCTTCACTACAAATAAAGGGGTCAGCCTAAATCAGCGGTTTGCCAAATTCAGTGAGTGTCAGAATTTGACATGTTTGTCGCTCTTTGAGATATTTATGAAAAATGTAGACCCCGTCCCCACCCCAACTCCCACCCATAAGACTTTGAGTCTGTAGATCTGGATTAGGGCCCAGGAACCTCTATTTCTCCCCAACCAGCCAACTACCACCAGAGACCCTGGTGGGGAAAAGCTGAGGATGGCTCCCTGGTTTCTAGGTGGCTGCAAAGGTCCCTCCAAGCTTTAAAATTCCAATTCTATTCAAGTGCAGCGGGTGTGTAGCCCCTCAAATGAAAAGCTTGTAATTCGTCACATTGTATACTCTCTAGGCTTCCAAAATCATCATTTCAGGTTCTTAGTCAATTTCTACAAATCCGCTACGTAGAAACAACCTGAGTTCATTTTACCAGTATTTTCCCACAGCATTCACTCTCTCCACTGAGAAGCATTTTACTTGGTTTAGAAGTAAAATTTTTTTTTTTTAAAGATTTTATTTATTTATTTGACAGAGAAAGACACAGCGAGAGAGGGAACACAAACGGGGAGTGGGAGAGGGAGAAGCAGACTCCCTGCCGAGCAGGGAGCCCGATGTGGGACTCGATCCAGGGACTCCAGGATCATGACCTGAGCCGAAGGCAGTCGCTTAACCAACTGAGCCACCCAGGCGCCCTAGAATTAAAATTTTTAATCTCCAAATCCAATGTAGTATGTTACTGAAAGAACAAAGGATGGTCAAGAAAGATTAGAGGCTAGTGGCCTAATACAGATTCATTTTCTAAAAAACACCACTTACCATTTACTTGAAGAAGGAAACACGTATATTTTTCAATTAACTGTAAGATTTCCTTCTTTAGTATCATACTAGCAAATTATAGACTAAAAATGTCTGAAACAATTCCCCCTAAAGATATATGATCTGGATTTCACTTTATCATTGTGATGTTTTCAACAGAGCAAAAAATGTGTTTTCTTATTAACGACTATTAGAAAGACACATTTTTTGAAGGGTGCCAAAGCTGGACTCTGACAAGAGACATTATGGGGAGAAAAATAGATCTGCAAAGCAGAGACAAAAAATAATTAATTGAAATAACTAATTAGAGCTTATTTACATATTATATTTTTATGTACTTTCAAACAGACTTTTGAATAATGCTTCCAAATTAAGGGGTATTTGTAGTAGGGAACCCTCCACATATTGGATCAAAGCAAATACATTCTTCCCAGTCTCTTTTTGAAACTTTTCAGAGGGTGTTCAATTCATAGGAACAAAAAACTATCTCACAAGAGAACTCACTGGCCTTTTTTTTTTTTATTGCTTCCCACCCCACTTCAAATCTTTAATGAACACATGCTCTGAAGAGCTTAGCTTCCCCTCTGGTACTCTTTTGGAAACAAATGTTACCATTTAACTGAAATCCTATTTGCTGCATGTACAGTCCATTTCCCAAATGGCCTTTCACTAAAGAGGACCAAAAGAATCTGTTGCCGGGGATTGAAGCAGAAATTTTGGCATAATTCTCCACAAAGGCACAATCTTTCTTCTTATAAGTGCACCTAGTTAGCTCAATTGGCTGCAATGTGGTGTTACGGAAGCCGAGATCTTGAGGAGAAGCCAATCACCTTCTCACTACCTCATGGCTACCAAATCAGCCCTCCTTCCCCTGACCAGCAGCTGGAAAATTCATGGGCGTAAGAGAAAAAGGACGCGAACTGTGGCTAGATCCAGATGAATCTCCCTAAGGAAAGAACTCACCCAATGCTTCCTAAGTGTGGTCAGCCACACTACCTCCTTTACCTAATTTGGTAAAGTAAATTCAGTATTTTGTATTTGGAAGGTAGAAATGCTCTAAGGGAAAAAAAAGTAAATAAAAAGAAAGAAGAGAAGGCGTCTTTATAAAAAAGGGAGGAACAGAGGTAAGAGTGAGAAGATACATTTTCATTTTCTCTGTTAAAAGAGAAAAACAAAACTGGCATGGTGGAGGGAGAGGTGCCCATAGGAAGGGCAAAAGGACTGCCCTTGCCCCCCCTCACCCCTTCGGTCCAGTGCCCTGGTGTGGGACAATGACCTGTGCTAAGCACTTTGTAAAATGGGGCTTGAAGGCCTGGACTTTTATCCGAAGCTCTACGGACCAGATTTTCCAAAATGAAGGAAAACAGAAATGGGGGAGGGTGGTTTCAATGACTTGCTATTTTATAAGAATCAGCGGGAAAAAGGTCATACAGAACTCCGCTTTCCTAGCTAACGGTCTATAACCATTGACTGCTGATTGAAAATACAGATAGCACCCGGCAATCCCATGCATCTGTCTCTTGCTTCAACAGTGTTTGCATGAAACGGACCTGGGGACCTTCTTCCAACCTCCAACCAACCCCCAACCTCCTTCCCGGTTGCAACCTCTAAGACCATCTTTTCTTGGCCATCCTCTGCCTCTGGGACCAGCCAACACTGGTTTTTGTGGTTAGCTCCTTACTGCCCACCAACCTTGAGCTCCTAGATTCCACAGAATTATTCCACCAAAGTGGAGGCTGCTGTCAACCGCTGGGTTAACCTACATCTGCAGGCTTTCTACACCTACCTCTCTCTGGGCTTCTATTTTTTGCCACAACGATGTGGCTCTGGAAGGCATGGGCCAGCTCTTCTGCCAGGTGACCCAGGGGAAGCATGAGGGTGCCCAGTGTCTCTTGAAGATGCAAAACCAGGGCAGAGGCTGCATCCTCTTCCAGAATATGCAAATGCCCTCCCAAGATGGTGAAGGAAAGCCTTGTATGCATGGACGCTGCCATGGCCCTGAAGAAGAACTGAACCAGGCCCTTTAGGATTGGCATGCCCCGGGTTCTGCCCGCACAGACCTCCATCTCTGTGACTTCCTGGAGAGCCATTTCCTAGATGAGGAGGTGAAACTCATCAAGAAGATGGCGACCACCTGACTAACTTCCGCAGGCTGGGTTGGACTAGTATCTCCTGTGAAGGCTCACCCTAAAGCAGGACTAGGAGCCTCTGGAGCCCAGTGGACTTTGAGGGGTTCCTCTGTATTCCCCAGGTGTCAGGGCATCTGCTCCCTGCAGCCACTAAGCAGTTTTTTAATACCCTGAAGCCCTCTCCCCAGCTGTGGACCAAACAGAAACAATAATGTTTTTACAGAAAAAAAAAAAGAAAAAGAAAATATAAAGCCTGTCTATGCTGGATAAATGCTATAATGTTTGTTTAATCTTCATAGAATGTTGTTATTAAGATTATAAATCATATGAAATACATTAATAAATACCAAATAGATTCCAACTCAAGTTGAGAAGCGTCAAGATTCATTGGTCTTTCAGGTAAACAATGATTGAGAGACTAAAGTCAATATTTAGTCAAAATTTATCTTGAAAGGCAATAAATCTTGATTTTTGCCAAGGCAAGTAAGTAAATATGTGCACTGTTCTAGAGATTCTGACTGCTTTTCTGTCTACTAAATAGCTACAGTGAGTTAAAAGTATCCGTGACACAGATTCTCACTTCCAAAGACATGGTTTGGAAGATGTTGATGATAAGGTGCTTTAGTACCAGTATTATGGTAATGTAAGGTCAGAGAAGGTTAACAATGAAATGTTATTTCACCATCTAGTATATTTAAATCAGTCTAAACTCGGTATTTTTTTTTTCATACTTGTTTTCTTCTTAATAGTCTATGACTAAATTTTCTCATTAACTTCTGTGCCTGTCTGCTCTTTACCCAAAGACTCTCAAGAAAACAGTATGCAATTTTAAATGGGAGTAATAAATAGATAGGTAAATGGATAAACAAATACTTACATAGTGCCTACTATATGCCTGGCACAGTTATAAGTACTTTACATACACACACATTTATTTAATACTCATCAATTCTATAAGGTAGGTATTATCCCCATTTTACAGATGAAGAAACTGAGGCAGAGGGTGATAAAGTAATTCTGTCCATGGTTGTACAGTTAGAAAGAAGACAGAGCTTAATAGAAGTAGCTGATGTGGCACTTGATGAGAAACACTAATATATATATATGGGTGAATTTCCATGTAGCTGTCTCCTTGTGGAAAGTATTTAAAAAATGGTCTCTCTGTGTATGGCAATATGATAAGCACAGGAAATATAAATCAATTATACAAAAGAGCATAAGTTACTTTGTCAATGAATTAGCCTAGGACCTCACAGCATTAGCATCACACTGAATATGAAGGGTTTGGGGGGACAAGAGTACAAATCTGGAAGGTGGAAAGCAGAAGACAGTAAGAGATAAGCCAAGGAGGAAGCAATCCACTCTAATTGTGGACACTGGGGAAGGCTGTGTAGGCATGGGCCATTTGAACTGGGCCTTGAAAAAGAAAAGAGATTTTGGAAGACGACAGCTCAGAAAAATAGGGGCATGTTTGGAAAACGTTGATTATTCTAGATATCTGAAGCTTCCTGTAATGAGAGAGGTGTTAGGAAAAAAGAATTTGGAACCATAAACTGAAGCTAGAACGTAAGAATCCTGAATGCTTAGCGGGAAGAATCCTTACTAACCAATAAGACACAGAATGAGCTAGAGTTGTTTGAAGCAGAACAGGAATCTGAGCTTTGAAAAGATTAATTGGCAAGGAAAAAAAAAAACAAAAACAACATGGAAGGGGAGAGGACCAGTCGATAAGTTATTGCACCAGTCTGGGCTTAAGTAGGCAGTGAGGTTGAGAGCGGAAGGGGAAAGAGAAAGGGATACTATGGAGATGAACTGCAAACATTTTGGTAACAGATTAATGTGGAAAGGACTGGGATTGTCAAAGATGCCCATGATGTTGTATGAGAAATCTATCAGTCAGAAGGGGCAGGTGGTTTCAGGGAGAAAATGCTGTTTGTTTGGGGGCATTAAGACCAAAAGACAGAGTTCAAAAATTTTGAGCCACCAGATCTTCTGATTCCTATAGCTCAGCTGACTAATTCCCCTTTACTGTACAAATCAATTTGAATTTGATCTTCTGTTATATGACTGACTGCATCTGATGTATTTGATACTGAATAATGGCTGGTTGAGGGTTCTCTTTCTATAACCTAATATTTTTACCTAGAGCTACCCATTAAGACGCTAAGGTCTCATTACAAACCATTAGCTGGTACGAAATAATCAACATGCATTTCCGTAGAAGACATTTATTTCTTTATAAAGAAGTGTATAAAGAAGTGAGTAGAAGCCAAGTGAGGAAAAGATGACATAGCGGGTAGGCCTTATTTCTTGACAGCACAGTGGTTCTCAACCAGGGGAGAGTTTTGTCCCAAACAGGGGCGTTTACAATATCTGGAGACATTCTTGGTTGTTATGAAAGGGTGAGGGGGGTAGTAGCTACTGTCATCTAGTGGATAGAGGCCAGGGATGTTGTTAAACATCCCTCACTGCACAGGACAGCGCCCACAACAAAGAATTATCTGGCCCCAAATGTCAGGCTTGCCACTGTTGAGAAACCCTGTGACAGCACAAAGAGGGCAAAATAAGAGGTCTGAGTATGGATGCTACTTAATCACTTTTCTCTGCAAGTGACAGATACATGGTCTATCATGGGAAGGAGGAAAGCCCTCCCACCAGCTCTACTTTCTTAGCTAAAAGAAATGATTCGTGCCACTATGTTAGTTTAGAGAGGCACCATCAAAGAGAGGTCTTACCCACACTGTACCACCATCTCCTATACTGGCCAGTAACGTTGGCTCTTTTCTTCATGAAGTTATCCTTCTGGTGAAACACTTGTGACCAATAACTCTTACTTGGAAAACTGCAGAAGAGAAAGGGCTGAGCTAACCTGATTATTTTAAACATGAAAGCGGCCGGTGGTGGGAATATTGTCCCTCTGTCACAGTCTACCTCCTGCTGCCAGTTGTCTCTTAAGCACGGGAGAAGCAGGATTCCCCATATTGTACCCCTGCAGCCCCAGAAAGGGAAGGCAGGTCAGCCTCACCATCCTTGTAACAAGGCAGATGCTGGGCTGGGCTACTTGGAACTTACACACTGAAAGCTTTGGAGGAAGCTGTCTTATTAAATCAAAGGTCTTGGGCACCTAGGTGGCTCAGTCGGTTAAGCAACTGCCTTCGGCTCAGATCATGATCCCAGGGTCCTGAGATAAAGTCCCGCATCGGGCTCCTTGCTCAGCGGGGAGTCTGCTTCTCCCTCTCCCTCTGCCCTTCCCCCCTGCTCATGCTCTTTCTTGCAAATAAATAAACAAAATCTTAAAAAAAAAATCAATGGTCTTTCTGGAATGTTCCTCTGAACCAGTGCCACGCCATATGAGAGAAGCCTGAGACAAAAGGAAAATTCAGTCATAACTGATCCTCTCTCTAAAATTTTATATTTTGTTCATCATGGATTTTTTGGCTTTTAAATAATATTACATTAAAAATATTATTTATCTCAATTACTGAGTGGTTGGGGGGGGCGTCCTCTTAAGTTGTATGCCCAAAGCAACTGCCTCACTCCCCCTACCCTAGTCCCCAGCCCTGTACTGAACCTTTTTTTCCTCAGAGTCTGCTGTGTACCACAATGATGTTCTTTCTGCAGTGATTCTCCCTGATCTTTAACATTATATTAAACGACCACTAACTCTCTTTTTGTGAGACAGCACTTTATAAAGAAGTGAGGAAAACCTGAGTGAGGAAGAGAAGACATAGTTGGTAGGCCTTGTTTCTTCACGGCACAGTGGTTCCACCTTTATTTTGGTGGCTTTGAAAGGTCAAAAACCTCTTACTGGCTTAGAAGTTCAGATTATCTTTATGGTTTCCCTGAGAAGCAAGTTGTCTTTCTTTAGTCTTTTTCTGGAACTGAGGTTTCCTTCCAGCTTGTATACAGAAGTCTCTGTGTACATCAGCCTCATCCAGCCGGTCGCTTCTGTGACAAACACTGTCCCACCAGGGGCTCCTCAGACTTCTCTTTCACGTCACTCCCCACTCTGAATGCCTGCTCCTCTTTCCTTATATTTTTCATGAGTCTCATCCCTTTGAACTTTACAGTATCTTTACAACACAACCTTTCCTCTTCTTTGCTAAAACCTCCGAAAAAACCCTGACAGCATCTCTTAGAGTAATTTCTACCTTAGCTATTTTAGTAATGACAACAATTTGATAAAATTAAAGTCATGAGAGTGGATCCAAGTAGTACTAGGAACAGTCTCAAAGTGAAAGAGATCACTTTCATCAGCTTCCCTTAAATCCATGCTTGAATTTTTTCATTTTCACCCCAAACCAAATTCTTTATGTTCTAGAAGATTCAGGGACTGCCTTGGTGTACTCTCTTCCTTGACCCTTTTCCCTATGCCTTTTTTGGTCTTCTTACCAAGCTTTTCTGTCTCTCTAAAAGGACAGATTTGTGACCACCTCCAAAACTAACCTTTTAATTATATGTTTAGTATTTGAAGATAGGCTGCTTGTATCAGGATATTTGGAGCTAGAAGGCAAGACACAAAAGGACATCTACAAGCAGGAAAACTCCTATTCCCTGGTCCTCAAGTTGCCCTTTGAAAGGAATTCCCTAGACTAGTATTCCCAATGTCTCTCCCCTTTGCTTATCTGGCCTCCTCACAGTTGGAGATGTGAGGTATCGGACTGGTAAATTTAGAAGAACCCTGGCATGTTCAGTCCAGCCTTCAGGAAGCAGTTTTTCAGGGCGCCTGGGTGGCTCAGTCGTTGGGCGTCTGCCTTC